TCACCTCCTGCCTTGGTTACTGTCTCTGATACAGCTCCTGGTCCCTGTGGGGCACATGACCCTTTTTCAGGCTGAGAATTATATTTGGGTTTTAAATGCTGTGCCAGGAGCTGCACTCCCAAAAGTGCGCAGGACTGGGACAAACAATAGCTCTAATAGATGTTAACTAGGTCTTTGCATTTAAAATTAGAATTTCATCTGCAACTTTTGACAGGACTCTGTGGCTGCATCTAATCTCTGTTTTTTAGGTTGGACACTTATAGTTTAGATTAAGTGAAGGTATTTATTTTGGGACTGTACTTTTAAAATGATTGCATTCAGAGGGTGTAACTGGTGATGCTGATGGAGCATGGGACACGGGTGTGGCCCAAAGTTTTATCCTGACTGTTTTGTGATGGTTTTAAGGGCAAAATGAATGTATTGCCTTAATTCTACAAGCCTTGAGGCATTCAGTTCTTCCTCTAAGATTTTCACTGCTCTCAGAATTAAAAATGGATCAGCATTTTTAGCTGCAGTCACTCTGAGGTGCTCTGAGGGCTGCATAATGACCATCAGTTGCCCATCCCTGGTGTAGGCCACTGCACTCTCAGAGAGCTCCGCCATCTTGGGGTGCTTCCCTGAAGCTGAGTTTCTAGAAGAATTTATTCAATCTGCAGTTTTATTGAAAACTAATTTGGAGAGTTCTCTAAGTAGCAGTACTATTTGCTTTGTTCCTGGGATAACGTTCTTGTATTTCCAAAGTATTACAGTTAGCCTAAGCATTGGGACTTCGACTCCAGACGGTCTATTACAGATAGTCATGTTCCTACAATGGATTGCTCCACTTGCTTGCTCCAATAGGCCGGGCCAGAATTTTCCTTATCATGGCACGGAGGACTTGCTTCCTATTTCCAACCTTGCCGACCATCTCTGAGAGCTTGGATGCTTCTCCATTTTTAATCTTTCCTTTATGGCTGGGGAAGGCGAAGACAGCCCAACACTACCCAGCCACACATTGGAAGATATTTCTTTTTTTTCCCCCCCAAATAATTTTATTAAGAATTATAAATGAAAAGAATAGAAGCCAATACAGGCTACAAAAATACAAACAGAAAAATACAAAAGAAAAGAAAAAAGTGAAAAAAAAAATTAAAAAAGGAAGAGGAAAGGAAAAAAGAAACAAGTAACTTCCGCCTTCATTCCAGCAAGTAAAGACAATCTTCTCTAAATACAGCATAATCTCTCTTCACCCCATATCTCATCTATTGAATAAAAAAAAAAATCCAAATGCTTTGTCAGTTGTTCTTTGTCAGCAAAAGTCCAGTAAGGGCAACCAGATGTAATTATTTTTCTGTTAGTCCTGGTTGAATAAGCCAACCTTGTATTCCTTTGCTGAGTTTTTAAAAATATCTTTTAATCCCTTCAAAAAGACTCCCAGAGCTAGTTTTCTGTTCACCTGTGTTTCAAGCCAAAAATCTTTCAGAACTTTAACTTTATGTATACTTTTAGTATAAGCTTAACTGCGTTTATATAACTTTTAGTATAAGCTTAACTGGGTTTTAGTAGCTAGTATCTGTCAGAGACGCTAGACCCTATTGATACTGCTGTGAAGACACTAAAAGAACCTGTCTCCCAGCTGAAAAGCCACGCCTTGAACCTTAGTCTGGAGATTCAGATTATTGGAATATGATTGGATGCATATTGTGAAGGCAGCAGTTTTCTTATTAGACTATGCTTGGTGTGTTTGGTTTTATCACCACAACTACCGAGGTTATACCGTTAGCACCTTTTATGTATCATCTTCAGTTTTGATCCTTTGCATTTTATTCTTTGGAATACCCTGTTGAACTGCTTTTATTGTTAGGAAGTTTTTCCTAGCATTCAGTTGAAATCTGCTTTCCTGAATAACACATTTCAGTTGTTCTGAACCTGTACTGTAAAATGAGAGAACAGGTCTTGATGTTTTTGTATGTGACATTCTTTCAGGTCTTTGAAGAATCGTGCCGTTTTTCTGAGGGCTAAACGTACCCAGTTCCTTAACATTTTTTTTACAGATTTCTGTTTCCCTGATTATCCTCGTTGCTGTTCTCTGAACCAGTTTCTTTGAGTCCTCCTGAGTATGGCCTCCAGAATGGGACGCAGTTCTCATTATGGGACACAGTTGTCATGGTGGGGCCAGTTTGCAATCAACTACTGTTCCAATATCATTTTTACAAAATCAGGTATTCCCATCCTATACCTGTGCATTTGATTTTTGTTTCCTAAGAATTTTCACTTCTCTCTGTCAAATGCCGTGCTGTTCCTTGCAACTCCAGCCTCTTCAGATCATTTCAAATTTTATTTCTGTCTTCTGGGATAATAACTATCCTACCAATTTGGTATCATCTGCTAATGTGATAAGCATTTCCTCCACCTCTTACCCAAATTCTTAAGAAAGTAGAGGATCCAGCACTGAACTTTGTGGCACTCTATTCAATATGTTTCTTCAGTCTGATGAGGACCCATTGAGGGATGCTCCCCAAATAGTTTTCAGGCCAACTGCTTATTGTCATGCCATCTGACTCATGCTTTTAAGGAAGCAAATTGCTGTTAAGAAACCATTAGTTTTTCTTAGAAGAAGAAGAGTAGGCAGGTGTGACAGCAGTTAGAGGAATCCAGAAGTGGACAGCTAAAAGAATAAGAAAAAGTGGGTTTATTCTCAGTTACCCTTTTTGTTCCAAAGAAACATGTTGACTTCCCAATACTGACTTGTTTGGACTTCGGGCCTCAAACTGTTAGAAATTTTTGTTTGATCTGCTTGGGTTTATTGGGCCCATTAGACATACCTAAATTGTGTCAGAAATTTTCAAAGGCATCCTTCCTCCTGCCAGAGTGTGTTCCTGTTCTGTGCCCAGAGGCACCTCCCATGCTGTTCGTGTGTGCATTTCTTCTCTTTCGTTCTTCATGTGTGCCCTTCTGTGCGCACCCCGTCTACACAGGCACCCTCACGTGGATGTGTGCTGTTCATGTAAACGCTGGCTTCCCTTAATTATGCACAGACTTTCCAAGTGTGCTCTCCCCCCTTATGCACACTACACACACAGCTCATGCTTTCACTTAGACATTCATGCGCCTCTCACACATATATGCATATACACACGCAGTCATACGTACAGTACTCTTTCTGAAAGAGGTACATGCTGCTGTTTCCGGCACATTTCACAGAAACTGCTATTTTTCACACCTAAGTTCTGACATGCTGCTCTCTCTCAAATGCATACGTAGGCTCACCAGCACATTCTGTTCTCTCCCAGCATCCTCTCTCCCACCCTTGAGAAATATCTGTTCTGTTTCACCCACCAACACACACACACCACACGTTTTGCTCTTTCAGCCAGATTTACCAAAGGAACACCCTGTCATGCAGATGTGTTCTCTCTGTCACACGCACACACACAGTATAGTAATCTTCTGAGGTTCTTGCCTCACACACATAACTCCCCCGGGGGGTTTTACCCTGCACGTGCCCTTCTTTCTTTCACTCTCCTGGGCACATCTCTCATGGGGTGTTCCAGTTGAATATGTGCTCTAGCTCCTTCCTGCACTCACAGCACGCTGGGAAATATTGATATAACTCCTTGCAGCTTTGAGTGTGGCTCTTTACAGAAAGAACTTCAATAATCTGGTCTAAATATATGCTACTTTCTATGCCAGTTGAGATTGAAGGCCGGCACGGGGATAGAATATTTGACAAACGAGAGCTGCGGCTTGAAGTAGGAGAGGGAGAAAACTATGACCTTCCTCCTGGCTTGGACAAAGCACTACAGAAAATGGAGAAGTTGGAAGAGTCTGTGGTGTATCTCAAGCCCAGGTATGCCTTTTGCCCTGAAATGGTCCTGCCATACCTCTTTGCTGAATGAATGATTTGTGGCCAAGTGGTGCTAATAGAGCAAGTCTAACTTTGGGAATGAAATACTTACACTGAGAGCGGGATGGTGGGGTGCTTCTGTATGTCTGAGATTCTTTTAAGGGAGAAATACTTTGCTCCCTAACACCTATTGTTTCTCTCATAGCTATGGCTTTGGAAGTGCTGGGAAACCAAAGTTTCGGATCCCTCCAGATGCAGAATTGCAATATGAAATCAAACTCAAAAGCTTTGAAAAGGTATGTAAGTGAGCATGTCTACCAATGCAAAGGAAATGGGCAGAGAATTTGCCTTAGCTAGTAGGCATGTGAAAAAGGTGGTCATTTTTTTTTTAAAAAAGTAATTTGAGCAAACTAATTTTTATTGAATGTTATTTATTTTATTGAAACACACAGTGTAAGATTACAAATTGTTTTCTAATACATGAATACAGGTTTTTAATGCAATAAGTTTAGACTTTAAGCATGTTTGCCTTTATCTTATATCAAGTCTAAATTTGGGACAAACCAAACATTCACACAATAGGATTTTTTCTCCTTTCACTTCTGCTTCCCTATCTCCTGGTACTATCATACTGTCCTATTTATTTATTTTATTTAATTTGTATGACTGCCCATCTCACATGAGTGACTTTGGATGGTGAATGTGGTTAAAACGTTAATATAATAATACAAAATGAAAATGAAAAATAACACACGGAAACTAAATGAAAAAGCGGTAGCTGAGGATAACCATTAGCAGTGTTTCCCAGGCTCACCCAGTCTCCTGACCCTCATGCCTGGGAGAACAGCTAGGTGCGAAAGGCCTTCTGAAAGGTTAGCAGGGCTGGGGCCAATCAAAGCTTGGGGAATGGTGTTCCAGAAGGCAGGTGCAGAGGCAGAAAAGGGACACTTTCTGGGTCCCCCTAGATGACACCATTCTGTAATGGAGCATGTCTGTGATGGAGCACGTCCTTCCTGCCAGACCTGATGGGGGGCTGCAGGCGGTCAGAGGCAGTTCCTGTCTTCTCCTAGCAGTGGGCTCGCCTTTCTCTTTCCTACGGATGCAGGCAAATAAGCCCCTTTCCCTGCTTTCCGCTCTTTGGCCTTCCTAGTTTTCCTTCTGCAGATATTAGCTACTTGCTGGTATGCTTCCTGTATTGCCCTTTTAACTTTTAGTTGAGTCAGAAGCTTCCTCCCATCCACACTGGTTTCCTAAGCTGCGCCTCTGTTTTTTCTAATTGGAATGGCATGTGATTGCACTTCCAGTCTCTTACTTTTGAGAGGTTTCCAACTCTCCTGTGCTCCCTTTGACATGAGGATTTCTGTCCATGGGGTACTGCCTAGTACTTGCCTAAACGTGTTATTGGCTGTCCTGAAATCTCAATGCTCGAGTTTCGGATTGTGTAGTATCTTGAAACCCAAGGTGACGTCGCTTTCTCCCAAGGTTCCCGTGGCTTTTAACTCTGATCAGCTCTTCTCTGTTGATAGGACAGATCTAGGAGCGCCACTCTCCCTCTTCACCCTTCTAGAAGGTAAAATAGCGAAGAATTTGGGGGACTCTGCAGTCTTGGCTGATTTTCCAACAGATGTTTCCAACCGACGTCTGGGGGGTGAAGTCTCCCATGATCACTAGATCCCATCTTCTGGCCTAGCAAAAAGTAAAACAAGGAAACAGGAATGAACTTCTCATCCTAGGCGTCTTCCTTAATGTGCACTTTTCTGTGCTGAGTATTGGAAGCACTTGCCAGTGTCATCTTCTACTCAGATAAGAGATTAAGTTGTTCCTTCGTGCCCTTCTTCCATGGGCTTTCTTAAAAAAAGGAGCGTTGCTGATTGTCTTCTTTTTGTTTCCGTAGGCAAAAGAGCCCTGGGAGATGAACACCCAAGAGAAGTTGGAACAAGGTTCCATTGCAAAAGAAAAAGGCACTCAGTATTTCAAAGTAGGTGTGACGCACGGTTTCGTTCCTCCGTTGCAGGGCTTGTAGGGAAAGAAGTACTTGGGTGTGCTGTACAGTCAGCTGCCGTTGGGATTTTCTTCAATCCTGGAAGATGCTAAAATGTTCGGGCAGCTGCAAAAGAACTGGAGTCGAGCTGGCTTGAAAATCATACTGTCTGGTTTCTCATCAGATTGGGGAGAAGTGTTGAGTGGGGTGTCACGAGTTTTAGGTCCTCTGCTCTTCCTTGTGCTTACTCACGACTTGAAATGTGAGCTGGAGGAAATGCAGATCAGACTTGCATAGGGCAGAATTGGAGGAATTGGTAATATCCTAGGACGGTGTTTCTCAACCTCGGTGACTTTGAGATGGGTGGGGAATTCTGGGAGTTGGAGTCCACCCATTTTAAAGTCACTGAGGTTGAGAAACACTGTCCTAGAAAAACAAAATAAAATCCACAACTATCTTGATTGATTCAAAGAATTGGCTGGAAGTAACATTAAAATTTAACAAACACAAATGCAGAGTCATTTACCTAAGAAAGAGAAATCGAAGGTGCAGTTACAGGATGTGGGATTCCTGGCTTGATAGCACTCCCTGCAGAAAGGATTTTGTAGTTGACGGCAAAAAGAGTGTGGACAAACAGCGTGGATGTGGCTCAGAAAAGCCAGATGTGGTTTTAGGCATCAAAAGAAAAATACTTTCCAAATCACAGGAAATAATTATTCCTCTTTATTCTGCTTTAGTTCGATCCCACCTTGACTCCTGCACCATGCTTTAGGAAGGATTTAGACAAATTGGAGCAGGTTCAGAGATGGGCAAAAGCAGATAAGGAGACTTTGTTTCACATTCTGCAGAGAGAGGTTGAAGGAGCTGAGGATGTTTAGCCTGGAGGAAAGGTGACTGAGGGGTGATAGACATACTTGGAGGATGTTGCAAAGAAGGACAGTTCCTGTTCTTTCTGGTTCCAGAGCGCAGAATGTGGAATAATGGATTTAAATGACAAGGCAGATTCCGTGGAAGGTTAGAAAAAACATTCTGATAGCAAGAGCAGTTGGACAGTGGAATGAATTACCCAGAAAGGTGATGAGCTCATGAGATGTTTTCCCACTGACAGCCAGCAGTCAGAAATGCTTTAATTTGGATTCCTGGTGGGGAGAAGGGGGCAGCTGGATTTAATGGCCTCAGTGGTCCTTGCATGCTTTTAATTATTACGAAAGCAGAGAATTGGGCCAGAACAGTTGTTGCCAGTATAATGCTCTTTTTATAGTTCCATGGTTTCTGTCACCAGGAGGTTTCATTAAATGAGATTGCCTCCTATTTCCTTTCCAAGATAGAGGTCTCTATCAGCTCTCTCAACTATAGAGCAGGGCCTCCCTTGGGAATTCTCAGATGTTTGGCTGCGGTTTGGCACGGTAAAGGAAATTAGGTATGTTAAACCTTTTGGTGTGATGCGTTTGAATGTATTTGTTGGGTACTGAAACTATAAATGTTTAAGAAAGGAGCGTTTCAGGAACTGTTCTAGACTCTGCTTGCAATGGGTTGAATACGTATAGTACTTGTTTAACAACCACTCGTTCAGCAACTGCTTGAAGTTAAACAGCGCTGAATGAGTGGTACTTACGACTGCTCCTCAAAGTTCCAGCCACCCCAGCGCCCCTGTGGTCCCATGATTGCAATCCGTGTGCTCGGCAACTGGTTCCCACTTTGCAGCATCCTGTGGTCACATGATCACCATTTGCAACCTTCCCTGCCGGCTTCCCACAAGCAAAGTCAATGGGGGAGCTGGCAGGGGAGGTTGCAAGTCACTCTTCCCCACCCGACGGCAGCCAGCCCTGGTCCAGCCATGCTCCTGCCACACCTCGCAGGCCACCTGCGCACCCTCCCTTGCCTGGCAGCAGCCATGCTCACAGCGGCCACCCGCGCACTCTCCCCCACCCAGCAGCAGCCTGCTGGCCTGCTTGCAAGCCACCTGGGATTCACTTAACAACCCACTATCCTCGCTTAATGATGGCAGTGAGGAATGCTGGGTTTGCCGTCACTTAGTGATGTAGTCACATGACATTGAGCTTTATGACCACATCACTTAGCAACGGAAATTCCAGTCCCAATTACTGTTGTTAACCAAGAACTACCTGTAATGTGGTATGGAGTCAAGTAACTTGTTTTATTCTTGCTGCTGTGGAGAATTGTGAATGTGATCCTTGTGGGTCTTCTGGGTGGGCATTTGGTTTTTTGACCCATCTGAACCTGACCCATGCTATAACTTCTTGTTTTCCAGGAAGGGAAATACAAACGAGCAACATTGCAGTATAAGAAAACTGTATCCTGGCTGGAGCACGAAACCGGCCTGTCAGATGTGGAGAAAGCAGAGTCCAGGAACCTGAGGCTTGCTGCCCACCTCAACTTGGCTATGTGCCATTTAAAGCTGAAAGAATATTCCCAGGTCTTGGAAAATTGCAACAAGGTAAATGATGCTTCTTTGTAAGAAAATGCAATGCACTCTACATGGGACTGCCCTTGGAAAGTGTTCGGAAGCTGCAGCTGGTGCAGAATGCGGCAGCACGGGCAGTTATGGGCACCTCTAGGACTGCGTGTGTAGCACCTCTGCTGCGTGAGCTGCATTGGGTGCCGGTCTGCTCCTGGGTCCAGTTCAAGGTGTTGGTTATGACCTTTGCGGCACAGGCCCAGGTTACCTGAGGAACTGTCTCTTCCCCCTTACATTGACCTGTCCCACCCGGTCAAGCAGAGAGGGTATGTTATGAACCCTGTTGCCTAGAGAGTTTTGAGTCCAGGAGGAGAGCCTTTTCTGCCTTGGCTCCCGCCCTGGAATATCTTGCCCCCTGAGGTGAGATTGGCCCCCACTCTGTTGGCATTCCAAAAGGGCATTAAGACCTGGCTCTGCCAACTTGCATGGGGACTCAGTGGGGGTTGCAGCACTGGAGGTGGTTGGTAGCCTGAGGATGCGCTCTCCACCCTTTTAGTTTGCATTGCAGTTTTAACTTTTTAGCTTAACTTTAACTTTTTGTAATTTTTAACTTACGTATTTTTTCTAAGATTTTCTAGTTTTTTATCTGTAACGCCACCTAGAGTCACTTGTGTAGTGAGATGGGTGGCATATATAAATTTGAAAAATAAATAAATATGTTTTTTGTATGTCCAGATGAAATTTACTTCCTTGTAGTTCTCTTCTGGAGCAACTCTGAACAATTCTGCCCCATCTGCTCTAGGTCAGCCCTTCAAGTATTTGAACACAGCTACCATGTCTCCTTGGCATCTTCTACAGGCTAAAACATACCAAGTACAGGTAGACTTCAACTTAGGACCATTTGTTCAGCAATCGTTCAGAGTTATGACGGTGCTGAAAAAATGGACTTTCAACTGGTCCCTGAAATTACAGATGTTGCAGCACCCTGTAGTCATATGATCAAAATTTGATCGCGTGGGCGTTTCACCTTCCCCCACCTGACTATCTTCCTCCCATGTCTGCCCTTTTGGGTACCCTGCACACATTCCCCTGCTGCCCACCCTGCAGCCACTGCTGCTCCCCCAGCTGACCTTTGCCGCTGCCTTCCTCCTGCTGGTGGCCTGGGATCCAGGTGCTTGGCGAGGATGCAGCCCTGAAATATGCGCAGTGAGTGTGGCAGGGCGGCGGAATCTCATCTGCTGAAGGGAGCTTGACAGGCCCAGCTGGGGAGGAGGCAGCGGGATGGCGAGGGACGGTGCTCTCTGTTGCCGGGAGAGGCAGGAGAGCTGGCAGTGGCTCCCTGGGCAAAGGCGGAGGCTGTGTGGGAGGTGCTGTTTGGGGTGATGGCAGAACTGGAGGAAGTGGAGGGACGTGGGCTTCCCAGAGGTGCAGTGTGCACTCTGTAGCTTGTGTTGGAAGCTCTCCTGGAAAACTGGCCTGCGGGCTTCAGCAAGGGGTAGAGGAAGGCCCAGCACCGACAGAGCCTACCCGCAGGCCCTCTGCTCACTCTCGGCCCAGGCTTCCTCCTGCAAAGCCTCATGAACAACCGGCAGCTTCCAACCTGAGCTGCAGACCGTGCGTCAGAAGTGCCCCTGGAGAACCTGGCAAGCTGTGTTTGCAGAGAAAGCGCCGCCGCCCTGCCACGCGCACCCTTGCCCAGCACCTGGATCCCGGGCCAGGAGCAGGAGGAAGAAGACGGTGAAGGTCAGCTTCGGGCAGTGGGGGGTGGCAGGGGTAGGTGCAGAGTAGCCAAAAGGGCAGAGATGAGGGGAGATGGGCGGGTTGGGGGAGTTGAAGCGAAGGCGAGTGTGGCAGGGCAGGAGAAGCATGAAGTCCTCACCTAACGACCACAACTGGAACTACAGGAACTGCCCTCACTAAGCAGTGTGGTCACATGATGTTTTGCCTAATGACCACATCGCTTAGCGATGGAAATTCTGGTCCCAATTGCCATAGTAAGTCAAGGACTATCTGTAGCTCCAAGAATTGTGCATATATTTTTCTTTCCAGGGCTGTATCATGGTTTGGACGGGTAAGACTTTTTCACCTATGTAATTACTCAGATATTTGTAACATGCCTGTTATCTTTAAAGATAGCTAGTATGAAGCATATGGAAAGCATGGGCTTAATACAGAAGCAAAGTTGTCAGTTTTTTTTAAAGCACCTTCCAGTGACTTCGTTTGTGGTAGAGACAAAGAATTAGTTTTGAAACTGACTTCATACAGCACCATTTGATAAATAAGGCTAAAAGCTAAAAATTACTGGGTCATCACTTGTACTAAACAACCATTCTTTTTAAAACCTAGATTTACTATCACTTTCTCTGAGAGAAGGTCTTATCTTCTTTCCCCAATGAAGCATATATCTCACTGTAGTTCCAGTGGCTTGACAATTCTGTCATTCTTTGAGACCATGCTTGGTTCCAAGTGCTGGATTTTTTCAAGGCACTTGTAATCACGTTGAACTTAGGCTGTCTTTTTAATACAAATGGTGATGATAACATGGATAGGATTAATTTTATAATAAGACTGGTATGACAAGCTCCAGTAAACATATTCTCAGTATTAATCATGTCCTATAGCTCTTAACCTGCTTGTCCTTTCTATCCTTTCCAATTTAATTTTAGGAAGCAACTTTATAGTTAGATACTACAACTTTTTTTTCACTCTATCCCAATTCTGGTTGCTGCACAGAAGGACGCTTGGAGAACATTTAGGTGGTGCCTTTGATGCTACTGTTCCAAAAGTCCCTCCACTTGGAGCTCTTCTCGGGAAGCATCTAAAAGTTATTTTACAATAAACAAGTGGGTCGCTGCTACAGTTAGTCTGGATACTTAATCAGGTTTCTACTACAGCCACTTAACCAATACTTAATCATATTTTTTGTGCATCTTAACAGCTGTTATTTTAAGTACAGACCTCACTGTAGATGTGTGTAAGGGAACTGTTTGCTTATGATTAAAGCAGGACTAGACTTTAACTCAGTACCTCACAATTTCAGGCCCTTGAATTGGACAGCAGCAATGAGAAAGGCCTTTTCCGGCGAGGTGAGGCTCGACTGGCTGTCAACGACTTTGAGTTAGCCAGAGCAGATTTCCAGAAGGTGCTCCAGCTCTACCCAAGTAACAAGGCAGCCAAAGCGCAGTTACTGATCTGTCAGCAAAAGATCCGCGAGCAGCACGAGAGAGAGAAAAAAATGTACGCCAACATGTTTCAGAGACTTGCGGACAAAGAAGCTAAGGTAAGCCGGAGTACTGGAGGTTTGCCTCCCTGTTTGCAGCAGCAGGCAAGGCCCGAATGAAATAATAGGGCACAAGCAGGCATCCCGTACCCCCCAAATCTGGTCCTTGTATTCCCTAGAACTGTTTCTGACCCTGCTGCCAAGTTTCAGTAGCATTCTGGTTGAAAATGGAAGTTTCCCAATAGTTTTGAGTGGCAAGTTTACAAAACTATTAGAAAAAAATGTTAAATGCTACCACTGAACACCAAAAGCTTGCCTGCTTCTACGTAAGCAGGAAGCATGAAGTGTTCTGTAGTGAAGTTTGCTTGTGCTTCTGAAAACATGTTTTCTGTCAGTATAGGTGGTTCTCATTTAACAACCACTTGTTCAGTGATTGTTTGAACTTAACGACAGTGAGTGGTAGTTACGACCAGACCTTGTACTTACAGCCATTGCAGCGTCCTGCAGTCATGTGATCCCAATTTGCAACGTTCCCTGCTGGCTTCCCACAAGCAAAATCAGTGGGGAAGTCAGAAGTCATGGTCTTGACATGATCAACGGCAACTGGGACTGCTAGAACTGCCATTGCTAAGTGGCACGGTCATGTGCTTTTTCAACTTATGACTGCATTGCTTAATGACAGAATTTCCGGTCCCAATTACTGTTGTTAAAGGAGGACTATCTGTATATGGAAGGGTTGCTTCCTTGACCATCCTGGGCTGTCAGGGGCTTGCATAACACATGTGAAGAAGAGAATGAAAAGGCTATAGAGCTCCTTCTTCACTATCTGCTCTTGTTATAAAACATCTTTTTATAAAACATCTATAAAACATCCTGCTATAAAAAAATCTGGGCCCTTTGGGTGAGCATGTAACTCCAGTCCCCATTCATCCCAAATGTGGATCCTCTGCTCTGCCAGTGCTATACAGAGGCATTGGTATGAAGGGCTATAGGTCAGATTCTTCATTTGTCTTCAGAATTGTCCCAAATGGTTATATGGCTTCTTACAGAATGGGCCTTTCCTGTCAGAGTGGAAGTACTACGCAGGGTTAGGTATATTCTTTTTTCTTTCATTTTGAATAGGTAATGAACCCCTTTTTATTGGTCTTTCCTTTCATCTTCCCAATTTTGGGTTACCTGTGTGTATTCTTCCCATCTTTCTTTCCATCCCCTGTATGTGCTGTGCTTTGAGATTACCACTAGGTTTTTGTAGCTGCATTGATTGCTTCTGCTGCCCTCCATTATTTTCCTTCCCAGTGGGATTGCTTACAGTTGTGCTTTATGAATGTCTGCTCTGATTTTCCTTTATGTTGAGAACTCCAGCATTATATGGTATATTATATGGTAATTTTGATTCAATGTTTCTGCTACTTCTACTTTATCAAGACTTCCCTGTTGGTTACTGTATGGTAATTGATAGGGAATTTGGTGTAGTGGTTAAAGGCACAAAGCTAGAAACTGGAAGACTCTGAATCCTAGTCCTGACTTAGTCACAATGCCTACTGGGTGACTTTGGGCCGGTCACACTCTCTCTCAATTCTAGGAAGGAGGCATCGGGAAGCCACTTCTGAAAATGTTGCTAAGAAGACTGCAGGGACTTGTCCAGGCAATGGCTAGGAGTCAAGACTGAGTCAAAGGCACACAGCCATGAACACACACAAACACAAGTTGATTACTGTCAGGGTAGAGCTAGCTGGTCCGCTTGTGCCTTCCATCATCTAAAGGAGAAAAGTGTCCATGGTTGGTAGAACTTGTCTCTCAGTAGATGTTGGAGTAATTAAAGTCCCATGACTATATAGGTAGTCCTCGAATTATGACCACAATAGGGACCAGAAAATCTGGCATTAAGCGGTGCGATCATTAAGCAAGACATCATGTGGCTGTGACTTGCTACCTTCCCTGCTGGCTTCCCATTGACTTTGCTTGTTGGAAGCTGGCTGGGAAGATCGCAAATGGCGATCATGTGACCGCAAGATGCTGCAACTATCATAAATGCGTGATGGTTGCCAAGTGCCCAGATCATGATCACGTGACTGCGGGAACACTGCAATGGTAAGTGTGAGGATCAGTCGTAGGTCACATTTTCAGTGTCATCTTAACTTCAAATAGTCGCTAAATGAACATCAGTCGAGGACTACCTGTATTAACATGTTAAGGCCCGATATTATCTATATACTGCTAAAACTCTTGTGTCTGTAACGTTTAACTGGGCAAATGGTGTGTCATAAGGCAACAATTTTTGAACCAA